GCTGGATTTATGTTGAGGTCTTTGATTAAGTTTTGTACATGGTGATAGATTTGGATCTATCTCCAGTCTTCTACACGCCAGCATCCAGTTATGCCAGCAATTTGGTGAAGATGCTTTCTTTTTTCCATGGTACAATTTTACCTTCTTTGTCAAAAATCAGGTGTTGGTAGGTGTGTGGATTAATATCAGGGTTTTCAATCCAATTCCATTGGTCTACCTGCCTATTTTTGTGCCAATACCAAGCTGTTTTCAGGACTATAGCTCTATAATAGAGCTTGAAGTCAGGGATGGTGATGCCTCCAGAAGTTCCTTTATTGTACAGGGTTGTTTTGGCTATCCTGGGTCTTTGTTTTTCCTTATAAATTTGAGTATGGTTCTTTCAAGGTCTGTGAAGAATTGTGCTGGGATTTTGATGGGGATTGCATTGAATCTGTAGATGGCTTTTGGCAAGATTGCCATTTTCACTATGTTGATCCTACCTATCCAGGAGCTTGGGAGATCTTTCCATTTTCTGGTATCTTTAATTTCTTCTTTGAAGACTCAAAGTTCTTGTTATACAGGTCTTTCACTTGTTTGGTTAGCATTACCCCAAGATATTTTATGTTGTTTGTGGCTATTGTAAAGGGTGATGTTTCTCTGATTTCTTTCTCATTGGGTTTATCATCTGTATACAGTAGGGCTACTGATTTTTTTGAGTTAATCTCAAATCCTGCCACTTTGCTGAAAGTATTCATCAGCTGTAGGAGCTCCGTGGTAGAGTTTTTCAGGTCACTTATGTAAACTATCATATCATCTGCAAATAGTGAAATTTTGACTTCTTCCTTTCCAATTTGTATCCCCTTGATCTCCTTTTGTTGTCTTATTGCTCCAGCTACAATTTCAAGTACAATATTCAGGAGATATGGAGAAAGTGGGCAGCCTTGTCTTGTTTCTGATTTTAGAGGAATCGATTTGATTTTCTCTCCATTTAGTTTGATGTTGGCTGTTGGTTTGCTGTATATTGCTTTTATTATGTTCAGGTATGTTCCTGTTATCCCTGATCTCCAGGACCTTTATCATGAAGGGGTGTTGGATTTTGTCAAAAGCCTTTTCAGCATCTACTGAGATGATTTTTGCTGTTTGTTTATATGGTGGATTACATTGATAGATTTACGTATGTAGTACCATCCTTGCATCCCTGCTATGAAGCCTACTTAATCATGGTGTATGATTTTTCTGATGTGTTCATGGATTTGATTTGCCAGTATTTTGCTGAGTATTTTTGCATCAGTGTTCATGAGGGATATTGGTTTGTAGTTCTCTTTCTTAGTTGTGTCTTTTTGTGTCTTGGGTACCAAGGTAATTTTAGCCTGGTAAAAAGAGTTTGGCAATGAACCTTCTGCTTTTGTTGTGTAGAACAATTTAAGGAGTATTGGTATTAGCTATTCTTTGAGTATCTGGTAGAATTCTTCACTGAAACCATATGGCCCTGGGATTTTTGGTTGGGAGACTTTTGATGACTGCTTCTATTTCATTATGGGTTGCTATGTTTAAATTGTTTATGTGTTGTTAATTTAAGTTTGGTAAGTGATATCATCCAGAAAATTGTTCATTTCCTTCAAATTTTCAAATTTTGTGGAGTACAGGTTTTCAAAGTATGACCTGAAGATTCTTTGGCTATCCTCATTGTCCATTGTTATTTCCCAGTATTCATTTCTGATTTGTCTAATTTTCATGTTTTCTCTCTGCCTTTTGTTTAGTTTAGATAAAGGTTTGTCTATCTTGTTGATTTTCTCAAAGAACCAACTCTTTGTTACATTGATTCTTTGTTTTGTTTTCTTTCTTTGTTTCTTTTACTTTATTAATTTCATCCCTCTATTTGAGTGTTTCTTGGTATCTACTCCTCCTAGATGAGTTTGCTTCTTTTTGTTCCAGAGATTTCAGTTGGCTGTTGATTCTCTATTGTGACTATTCTCCAGTTTCTTCATGTGGGCACTTAGTGCTATGAATTTTCCTCTTAGCACTGCTTTCAACGTGTCTGATAAGTTTGTGTATGTTGTGTCTTCATTTTCATTGAAGTCTAGGAAGTCTTTAATTTTTTTATTTCTTCCTTGAACCAGGAATGTTGCAATTGTGCTTTGTTCAATTTCCACGAGTTTGTAGGTTTTCTGCAATTTGTGTTGTTCTTGAATTCTAACTTTAAAGCATGGTGGTCTGATAAGATACAGGGGGTTATTATAATTTTTTGTACCTATTGAGGTTTGCTATATTGCTGAGTATGTGGTTGATTTTAGGGAATCTTCCATGTAGCGGTAAGAAGAAGGTATATTCCTTTGTGTTTGGATGGAATGTTCTATAGATGTCTGTTAAACCCATTTGGGTCATAACTTCTATTAGTTCCCTTTTTAAAGGTTCTTTCTGTTAGTCCTGTCCAGTGGTGAGTGTGGGATGTTGAAGTCTCCTACTATAACTGTGTGAGGTCTTATGTGTGATTTGAGTTTTGGAAATGTTTCTTTTTGAATGTGGGTGCGTTTGTATTTGGGGCATAAATGTTCATCCTGATGGATTTTTCCTGTGATGAATATGCAGTGACCTTTATCTCTTTTGATTGCTTTTAGTTTGAAGTTTAATTTGTTAGATATTAGGATAGACACACCAGCTTGTTTCTTGGATCCATTTGAGTGGAAAATCTTTTGCCAATCCTTACCTCTGAGGTATAGACTGTCTTTGAAGTTGAGGTGTGTTGCTTTTGTGCAACAAGATGCATTCTGTCTTTGTATCCATCTTGTTTATTTTTTACAAATTTCATTTAAATTAGAAACAATCCTATTTTAAATATCAATCCCAGTTCACACTCCCTCCTATTCTCCCATGCTACCCACTTCCATCCACTCCCTAGGGAGCATGAGGCCTCTCATGAGGGATCATTGAAATCTGTCAAGTCATTTGGGGCAGAGCTTAGGTCCTCCCCTGTATATCTAGGCTATGAGAGTATCACTTCATGGGAATTGGGCTCCCAAAGTCCATTCATGCACTAGGGATACATCCTGATTCCACTGCCAGAGACCCCATAGACTAGCTAGTGCTCCTAGGTGACACCCACATTCAGGGAGCCTGGTTTAGTCCTATGTTGGTTCCCCAGCTGTCAGAGTTGGATCCATGAGTTCCCACTTGCTCAGGTCAGCTGTTTCTGTGGGTTTTCTCAGCATGGCCTTGACCCCTTCGTTTGTCACTCCTCCCTCTCTGAAACTGCATCCCAGGAGTGGATCTCTGCTTCTGCTTCCATCAGCTACTGGATGAAGGCTCTAGGATGGCATATAAGGTAGTCATCAATCTCATTATAGGGAAAGGGCATTTAAGGTAGCCTCTCTACCATTTTGTTATCCTGTGTCTCCTTATAGGCAAGTTAAGACCATTAATATGGTGGGAAATTAAGGACCATTTTGTGTTAATTCTTGTTTGTTTTTGATTTGTTGTTGTTGTTGGTATTGTGTGTGGATTTACCCCACTTTTTGTTTTGTAACGTGAGTTTATCTATTGCCTATGTTTTTGTGAGTGTAGGTAACTTCCTTAGGTTGGAGTTTTCCTTCCAGTATTTCTGTAGGGCTTGATTAGTGTATATGTATTGTTTAAATCTGGTTTTGTCCTGGAATATCTTGTTTTCTCCATCTATAGTGATTGAAGGCTTTGCTAGGTATATTACTCTGGGCTGGCTTCCATAGTCTCTTAGTTTGTAGAATATCTATCCAGGACCTTCTGGCTTCCAAAGTTTCCATGGAGAAGTCAGGTGTGATTCTGATAGGTTTGCCTTTATATGTTACTTGGTCTTTTTCCTTTGCTGCTCTTAATATTCTTTATTTTGTAAGTTTGCTGTTTTAATTATTATGTGATGAGGGAACTTTTTTTTGTGGTGTACTCTATTTGGTGTCCTGTATGGTTCTTGTACTTTCATTGGCATGTCTTTCTTCAGTTTGGGAAGGTTTTCTGCACCTTTGAGTTGGGTTTCTTCACCTTCTATACCCATTATTCTTAGGTTTGACTTTTCATGGTTGTCCCATATTTCCTGGATATTTTATGTTAGGGATTTGTTGGACTTAAGATTTTCTTTGGTTGATGAATCTATTTCTTCTAGTGTATCTTCAACCCCTGAGATTCTCTCTTCCATCTCTTGTATTCTGTTGGTTATGCTTGCATCTGTAGTTCCTGATCATTTACCCATCTTTTCTAATTCCAGCATTCCCTCAGACTGTTTTTTTTTCATTGTCTTTATTTCACCTTTCAAAACTTGCACTGTTTGAATTGTTTCTTGCAATTTTGGTTTGTCTTTTCTTCCATTTCCTTTCTTTCTTTCTTTCTTTCTTTCTTTCTTTCTTTTTCTGTTTAAGAGTGATAACAACACTCAGGTAATGACTTTATTTTTTCAGTTAACATAACCAGCCCACAGTACAGCATGTGAAATCACAAAGTACAAATTCAAGGAAGGGAATGACTTTACTAAGTCACAAAATTTTGGCAAATTAATTCAGTACCCGTTAATACAATAAAATACTTTTTTTTTTTTTTTTTTTGCTGGAGTCATATATCACCTTGGTGTTAATTTGTACTCCAAAAATATCATGTAAGTACCAAATCCAAATACTGGTTTCCAAGAGGGCAAGTTATTTTATACAAATTAATGGCATTTGAAATTATACAGTTTCTCTTTTTAAAGTGAGTTCCTCGGGCAGGTGGTTCTAGTTCACAGCAGCGGGCAACTGTGTGGACTTGAGGGCAGCTGGCCTTTCTTCTTTGGTCCACACCCAGATACTGTTCCAGTCCCTGACTGGCTCTAAGATTCTACCTAAGGAGACTTGAGGTCATCATCGATTTCTTCTAAGTACTTAAATAAAAAACAAACAAACCCATGAATTTTTCACACGAACACAAGACTCTCCAGTCAGCTCCCTCAAGCCCTTCCACCTCAGACAATCACTTTGATTTAGAAAAAAAAAAACCAAAAAACAAACAAACAAAAACTCTACCTAAAATAGCCGTATCTTTTAAATAACAAATAAATATGATGCCAGCTTGGAGAGTCCCGGGCCCTGTAGCTGCACACCAATCTCCATTGTCATTTTTTTCCACCAAGGCTGCCGCCGCTGCCATTGGCGTCCGTATGCTTCCTCTTGCTGATACTGCCAAGTCTTCAATCTTGGTGTTCAGTTTATGGATCACCCACTCCATTGCTTCTCGGCCTTTGTTAGCGTTGGAAGATATGCTGCTTGCCATGAGTCCTTCAAGGTAGCTGCTGAGGCTGACCGCTTTCACGGTGATGATGGCTTCCTGGGTCAGGACAGTTTTCTCTGGGTCCTGAGGGTGCTGCTTGTATGTGAGCCTCTCGTCTACTGAGACCATATTTGTAAATGAGATGTTGGTGGACTTGAGCTCCATTGTCTTCTTTACCGGGTCTACCACAGAGTGCTCCTGCACCTACGTTTTCGTTCTCGCCCAATGGAAGGCAGGCCCCATTCTGTGCTGAGGAGTCTGTGGCTGTGCAGCTTTCTAGAGGGATCCACATGTCTGTCTAGCACGTCAACACCCACTACACGGGGATTCATGGGGTTAGGGTATTTCTGCATTGCAGCCGTGGTAACCATTTCCCATGGATGTTCCAAGACGTGCTCCGAACTCCAGATCTTCATGGTGCCAGCCGCTGTGCGGTGTCCTGCGGTGTCCCAAGACAATGAGGCACACTAGTTCACCTGCCCTGCCCCGTCTCGTCCCGGCCGGCTTTTCTTCCATTTCTTTAAAGAATTTTCTCATTTCCTCTTTTAGGGTCTCTATCATCTTCATGAAGTTGTTTTTTTAATTAATTATTTTTTGCAGATTTTTTTATTTGAATTAGAAACAAGATTGTTTTACATGTCAATCCCAGTTCCCTCTCCCTCCCCTCCTCCTCTACCCCCCCCAAGTAAAACCCTACCCATCACATATCCTTTCTGCTCCCCAGGGAGGGTGAGGCCTTCCATAGGGTGTAATCAGAGTCTTATCATATCCTTTGGGATAGCGCCTAGGCCCACCCCTGTGTGTCTTGGATCAGGGAGTATCCCTCTATGTGGAATGGCCTCCCAAAGTCCACAACTATGCTAGGAATAAGTACTGAACTACAGGAGGTCCTGTAGATTTCCGAGGTTTCCTCACTGAAACCCATGTTCCTGTGGCCTGGATCAGTCCCATGCTG